TTACACTTTTCATAGCCTTGAAGCCATTCTCCGTTGGCCACCATCACCTCGAACTATACCTTAGTAGTAGGATATATACGGGCTCTCTCACTGAACTGTGGATCCAAAAAATTATGGGTGGATCTACTATCTATCACATAACCAGGGGTTGTTGTTGTAGAATGGCTCTCATTCGCATGATTTGAGGAGAATCTGAACCAATAATGGTGGAAAGGGAAATCTCTAGTTGTTGCTCTTCTTTCGACTTTTGATCTTCTCGGCCTTCCTCTATAACAGGATCCTCTTCGTCCCCCACAAATGCATCCATCCAAAAGAGCCTCAGGTTTTTGTAGCGATGTTGAGGAGAATACTTCTCATCACAATAATAGCACAAACCTTTTTTGCGTCTATCCCTTGCTATAGCTAGAGTTAAACATCGAGCCTCAAAGGTGTTCTTCTGGGGGCTAGATACTGGAATTAGACATCTTGGTGATGTTCAGGTTGCTAGTCCTTAGAGGTCGGGGGCATAAGGGCTCCAGATGCATGGCCCTCTTCTTCACGATGTTTTCTTCTTCTTCTAACTAGGCTAAGTGAAGGGATCAAGCCAAAGTCATTGGCTCAAATTTCTCTACATTGACCCTCACTTCCTGTTTCAGACCTATGACAAAATACCCATCCAAATAATCTTCAGATATACCTTTCACTCGACTAGCTAGACACTAGAAGTCCTCCATAAATTCCTGCATAGAGCCCATCTGCATTAGTTTGGAGAGCCTCCCTACATGGTTTAGTCCTTGTATCGCATTGAATCGAGCATCCATAGCCGAGACTAACTATTGCTAGATGGCCTAAGGCTGGTGGTCCCAGAACCAACAATACCAATCTATGTCCTTACCGTCAAAGGCAAGACTAGCGACTAAGGCCCACTGGTCCTCTGGTAACTCATGCAATCCAAAGTACTGCTGAATAAGAATCAGCCATCCGTCGAAGTTATCTACACCAAAGCATGGAAGGTCTAGGCTCACCGCCTTAAAAAATCCTACAAAAACATGCTTTATGGCTGAGGGATCGTCGGCAGATTTCGATCCTTGTCCATTACTAGCCGTCAAGCTCCTCCTGCTTCCTTCCTCTAAGGCATGAGAAAACTCCCCTAGGTTGCTCAGTTGATATAGGATTGTTGCTAGCTACTTGTGAACCCTATCGTGCTTCCTCTCTAGGTTACTCATTCGTTCTTCAAGGCTAGACATCCTTTCCATCGCTGAACCGCCATGCTCTAATACCAAGAAGTTGTGTACCTCTTTGCTAGGATTCCCCCAATCAATGGTGAAGACCGCTCAAAGGGGGCTAGGTCCTTCCTAAGAAGAACACTACGAAGACAGTTTTTGATATAGAATAGTCATGTTCTCCATTAGATTAAAATTGTAGATATATAAGGTCTCTATCACCGTTATATCAAAGAATAAAACAAAACAATGATTTATTCATGATAGCCAATGATTGAGTGACAAGGCATGGTAGGTAGGGGTGTCAACGGTATTCAAAAATTCGATTTTGAATTCGAGATTCAACATAATCAAATCAAATTTGAATAATTCGAATATCTAATCAGTCGAATTCGGATATCCTATTCATAATGAAAAGTTAATCGGATTTGAATTTGGATATGACCTTATTCAGTTTGATAAATATCTTAATTCAATCAATTATTTAATTATTACATATAATATATAAAATATTTAAATGTTTTATATAATTTATATATATATATATATACACGATAATTAAGTTATATAAATAATACTTTATATAAATAAATATTTATTTTATATATTTATTAATTACCTAAAATAATTAATTGGTCAAATTCAAATTCGAATATTAATTTCCAATATCTGTCGGATATCGTATTGAATTCGGATATTGAATTTTCTAATCATATTCAAATTTAGATATTGCCTTATTCGATTTAAATTTGGTCAATTTACACCCCTAATGGCAGGGGAATGATTCCAAAATCATTCAATTACTTGCTTTTTAATGGTCATCCCACATGATTCTCCACCTGCAACTGGTTTGAGGCCCTCCAAATGGATCGGATCCCCGAGAATCCATATCAAGGATTGTAGGTCCCACCCCTATGAGATTAGGTTTTGAAAGGAATCTTGATCTTGAGGAGGTCATGGGAAGGGGGTAGCAATATCACTCAAGATTGAAGCAAACAAGCAATTTTTAAAATTAATTTTACAATAGTTTGTATAAAATTGATTATTTGTTGAAATAAAAAAATATTATTTATAAAATTGAATTTATATTAGTATTTTTAAGAAGTTAAACCCATTAAATTAATTTTTTGATTGTTTTTTTTCAAAAATTAGAAATAAAATGAAATAAATAAATTTTGATTAAGTAATTAAAATGCAATAGTTGCCTTTTGATTTGTATCTTGGACTCTTACATTTATAGATTTTATATATTTTCATGTAGCTAATACATTTTTAGTCAGGTATAACTATGATACCAAAAAAGTTGTTTTATTAGTAAAGTTATTGTATGATATCTACATGCCATAGACTCAGAGTATTATTGAATGTAATGTATTTCCTCATATAAACTGTGTTTATACTTTATTCACGGTTATATCAACCTAAGATTTAGAGTTATTATGATGATGAGTATATTTCTGAGATTTAGCAGAGTCTTAACAGTGTATCCAAGCATATCCATATCTTTTCACTACATCCATGCATATTCAAAAATGTGTTGCCATATTTATCCATTTGCAGGTTTACTGATACAATATGAAATACCAATATTTTGAACCTTGGTAGTAATCTGCATCATAAAGTGTAGTACCATACACACTGAATGTACAAATTCTCAAGAATGAAAATGAACCATGACTTGTGAAACTGCTTTCTGATCAAGCTGGTTGGTCTGGCCATAAGCATCTCAAAAATTTAGGTTCCCAGTTGGCCAGTATAAAATTGACTTGGCTCAATTCCCAGAGCTAGAAGCCTCTGCTATATTAAAAAGTTATTACAAGCAATGATTACAAAAAAAAAAAGAATATAAAGTGAATTTCTATATTTCAGAAAGTGAGCCCCATGATAATTTTACAACATAGGAGCAATAAAGGGTGGTTACTGCTATAACACAAATCTGTATAATACATACACTTCCAAGCACAAACTTAATCATTTGGATACTCTAGCTTTTTTCTTCCCCCCTCTTTCTTTTGGTTAACCCGGGGAAAGAATGATGCAGGAAACTAATTGCAGCAAAGATTGAAACCCATAATGAGATGATAAATGTAAACCCAACCCCAATAAGCATTGCACTTTGCCAACTTTCTCTCAATGCAGCTATGATACTTAGACTGAAGCTTCCTGCAGTACCTATAAATGCTACAGAGTTAAAGAGAAGAATAGCCACTCACAAAATTGAACTGAAACTTTCAATTGGATCTGCTTCTTCAAGCATGGATGCTGCTTGGAAGCAGTCACAGGCATCAGATATTCGCCCATCATCCTTGTGAATCATTCCTAAATAATACCAAGCTGCACGATTGGTAGGTTCAAGCCTTAGTGCATCTGAGAGGAAGCTTTTTGCTACAGGTAATGAGTTTGGGCCCATTTTCCGTAGCAATGCACCGATCAGGACCCTAGAAGGCACATAACTTGGGTCCAGGGAAATACCGTTACTGTAAGCAGCCAATGCTTCTAGCATCTGTCCACGTCCATCGTACATAATACCTAATAAAATTTTAGGAAAATAAGAACATAAATTTTTTAATCGCATGATAAGAATTGGGGCATCTTGACAAGATTGGGTTCTAGAATTTCAGATACCTTCAATAAAAAGTTTACAGGCTAAAGAGGTTGCATCACATTGCACATGATCCAAAAAAACCAAGCTTAATCAAGAAGTTTTCAACCATCCAGATCTACCATATTGTTTTCAAGGTCTATATCACATCTAAAGTAGGATTACATATTGAGATATTGTTTTTTTTCCTTTTGTGGGAAATTCCACTGATAAAAGGTTCTCTGTTTTTCTTGTACTGGATACAAGTGCATCATATAACAACAGATCATAGTTGTCAAGGCATCACATAGACAACAACAAGACACCCTTGAGGAAGCCCTTAGCCTGAATGCCAGAAATAAAATAAAATATCAGGATAAAACCTAATTGTAATTCTTTTACTCAGGGTGCATCTAATTAGTACATGTGTTCTTTTATGGTATTTTGCTTGCATGTGTGTATATGCATCAATTTCAAGGGTGCAATTTGGGCGGATTGGGATAAGCTCAGGTGGGCTTGGATGAGCCAGGGTGGGTTGGTTGAGTTTGAAAGGTTTTTTAGAATGTATTTTGCACATCTATCTTTTGTTGGTCTTTATAGTCTAATTTAGAAGTAAAATAGACTAAAAATATGCACAAATGTCATTAATAGATGTCTATATAGATATTTTACAAATTCATGCATATGTATAGTTAGAAAAAAGATACTTAAATATAAATAACATGCATAATTGTGCATTTGTACATGTTTGGAAATGGGTGTAAAGCTTATGTTGTTCATATACATATTTTGTTTGGTAATTAACCAAACATTTATTGATTTGAGAAAAGATGAATATAGAATCGCTTGCCTACAACCAAGTTTGGCAAATCCAAACAGCAATGATCCACAAGAGTTCCATTTCCTTCTCTTTTTTGTTAGTTCTTACAATAGCTAGCTTACATTTAAGTCCCCTACTAGACCCCAATACAATTGTTGTCTATTAATGCCTTGTTTGGCTAGATCATCTTCCATAGCATTTGTCTATCTTGGCACCCAACTATAAGAATTGCAGGTCGCCAGGTCCCTATCTAATGCTTTTATTTCTCTCAAGAAGTTGTGGTATTGCTACATGGCATCTCTCACATTCCACAACTAGACTCCTAGACCAAGGAACTTTGCCAATCTCAATCCTTTAAGTACAGAAATTAGTTCCGCCTTTATGGAGTTCTCTTGGCTCAATGGACAGGAGAATAATGCTGAGATAATTCCTCTTCCATCTCTATAGATACCTCCAATTCCCAAGGGGCCCGGATTACCCATACTGCAGCTATAATATTTAGTTTTTCCACATGAACTTCAGGAGGAATCCACCTTAAATTGCAGATAGATCTAGCTATTGATGTTTCATCTACCCATTTGCATTCTCTAGTGATATCTTCCAATGAGAAGTAGTCAAAGATACCCATAGTTTTCAGCCAGTTTGTCATCTTTATGGTGATGTCTTATATAATAGTGCTACTAAGCCTTGATATTTCTTCAATTGTTCCACCTCTTAGGGTTTCCATTCTGTATTTGCCTTTGACATCCTCTTTCTCTCTCAAATATTTTACTACCAAAAATATATAGCATTGTTTAGTTGCTAATAGTTTTTTGACATGCAATTGCTCTATTAGATACTTATTGCATTCCAAAAAATATATTTTCATTAATATACAACATGGTAGATTTAAAATATTTTTGTCATTTGGTTTATGATTTTCTTATCAATTTGTGTATGATGGCTTGCCATGTTTTGATATAAATCTTATTGTTATTTGGTGAACAATAAATTCTCTTCCCAACATATTTTTGGAAAGTAGGTAAAAGCTACACAAGCAATATCATTTGAAATGTCCAAATGGTGCAACTTTCTGGCTAGGTCTCATCTACGAAATAGATCATGTCTGGTCCATCCAGAAAGATATAGGACACATATCCTAGAAAAGGACGGTTCACTTTTTTCCCACATAAAATGCATAAATGATCCTTGCATAGAAATCTCCAGCAGGTTTTGTCCTTGTGTGTTAAAGGGTCAATAAGTAATAATATTGTGTTTAATAATAGATTATCATCTTTTGCATTCTGTACATATATCATTGGTAAAAATGAATCATATAATTTTATTTCTAGCTTTAAAAGTGGACATCTCATTTATCCCCCCATTTTCCTGTTTCTGATCCACCACAGTACAGGTCAGCTATCACAGGGTAATTTTTTCTATCAAAATACACAACTTTCTTCGTAAAAGAAAAGAAAGCAAACAGTTAGTATTATTTTGTGGTTTTCTGAACATTGAGAGACCATAAATAGTATCTTTATTTCCAATTAGAAAAATTTCAGAAATCGACTTCTTTTGTGGACGAGAGTTTGAAGACTTGCCTTCAGCATGCAGTGTAGCAGGACAGTACTGCATCAGCGCTCTAGCCTTCTCCAAGCATATCTCAGCATCATGCCAATGTGAAAGGCTGGAGTAGAGATTAGCAAGACCTTGCCAAACTTCCAATTCACTGATCTTATCATCCTCAACCTAATATAAAAGTAAAACCACAAACAAATTTAGAAACAACATTTACCATTCAAGAAATTAGTTACCACTTCAGCATATGAATGCATATAATTTCCACACATGCATTTAAGGAAAATCTCCTAGCCAAAAATTAACATATTTTAGGAGGATGAATTACTCTCATCAAATCCACTTTCTTGAACTTTCCAACATATTTTTTCAGTTCTTCTCAGTTTTTATGTTTTCAATTTCATTCATAAAGAGACGAGAAAATCATGAGGAACTTATGGGAACCAGGGAATACCAAAAGGATTATCTCATCACATGGAAGACATTGTGCAATCCTAAATAGATTAGAGAGATGGGGATCCCTTCCTTATCAAAGAAATGGTTGTGGAGATCTCTACTGGAGATGGACAAGCATTGGCTTCTGTCATCCAAAGTGTACATGGGCTTCATTCTTATCAGTCTTTAAAGCCCCATCTAGAGTAAGGAAACAACTTGAGAAGATTCAGAGGGACTTTCTTTGGGATGGGGGATGAAAAAGGAGAGACCATCCAGTTAATTGCAAGGAGATTTGTATGCCTAAGTCGGAGGCTTGTTTGGGGTTGGGACATATTCTGGAGAGGAACATTGCTTTCTTGGGGAAATGGTTGTGGAGATTTCCTCTGGCACAAGATAGCTTCATGGCTTCTATTATTCAGAATAAATTTGGAAGGAATAGGGATGGATGGGATAGCAACCTGCCTCTTTACAGAGCTTCCTCTTTTAGTCTATTTCGATCCATCCTGAAAGTACATACTTTCACTTTTTCACGGTGGATGTTCAAGCCACATCATTTAGCATTCAAAAATTTTCAACAAAACAAGAGGCGTGGCTGAGTCTTCTACCGTGAAAAGGCAGAAGTACACACTTCCAGGACGTAGCAAAATTTTTTTGCTCCTTTCTTGAGATGAAATTGGATAATGACAATCGTATTAAATTCTGGACTGACCTCTAGCTTGGACAACAGCCCCTTTGCTTCTCTTACCCCAATCTCTTCAGGCTTGCCTTGGATAAGGAAGCCTTTATCTCCTTGGTCACTTCCAGAGGGGATCAAGGGCTCCTTTCAACTCCAACTTCCATAGATCCTTAATGGATTCAGAATCCCAGTCCATTTCCCCCCTTCTTTCCTCTCTCTTTTTCTTGCTCCTCAATCCCTTGACAAGAGAATTTGGTGGCCTGCTTCCAATGACCAAATTTCAGTTAAATCTTTTTTTCACCTTTAGGTGGCTGGTTTAGCAACCCCTTTCTTTTGCTTCTAAAATGGTTTGGCTCTCTATCATTCCTCCTATTTGTTTCTTTGTGTGAGAGGCTTCCTGTGGAGCAATCAACACCTTTGAAAGAATTTTGAGGAAGAGAAAGAGACGTTGGTACATTGCTCCTCATATTTGCTTAATGTGTATGAAGGATGGGGAGTCCTGTTGTCATCCTTTTATTAATTGTTAGGTGGCTCACAGCCTTTTACAGTTCTTTCTTAATCCTTTCCATATTAGTTGCTACTATTGGGTTCCCCTGAATGCAGTGGTGGATCTTCTTCAGCAATGGCTGGGCTGTAGAATGAGTAGCAGAGGTATTTTGTATTGGAAGGTGGTAGTGCATGCAGTAATGTGATGTATCTAGGAGGAGCAGAGTAAAAGGGCCTCTTAAGGGAAAAGTTCTGTTAAAGACCTGAAAAAGAGAATTCTTCTGTTAATCAACTTGTGGATCAGTTCCAACAAGCTGTTTAGAGGCATCTCTTTTGGGGATTTGGAGAGATCTACAGTAGGTCTTGAACATATCCTGATTGACTCCCTTTATTAGACCCAGCCTTCTTCCTAGACCACAGGTTGATTTTATCCTTCAGTTTGATGGTAGCTGCAAAAGCTTGATGAGTCACAGGAGTCAGGCTGGGATTGGGGATCAACTGACCAATTCCAATGGTGATCTGAGTTGGGCTTTCAGTGAGACAATTGGTGATACAGATGCTGCAGAAGTAGAAATCTGTGCCTTGTTGGCAGGTTTGAGGTCTGCAGTGGTGCTCAACCTTACAGAGATGGTGGTGGAAGGGAATTCCAAAAATGTGATCTGCTGGATGAAAAACTTAAACGAAGGCCCTTGAAGATTTAACTACATATTAAGTGAGATTAAAGAAATCTTGTCCTTTTTGATTTGTCATTTTAGATGGATTACTAGAGAGCTGAACGGTGTAGCCAACAATTTGGCTTATCTGGGGTGGGAAGATTTTCTTACATAGGGACTCCTCAATGCCTCTGTAAATTCTAGGAGGGTCTATTTTTGGTTTTGGTTCTAGTGGTTAATGGGTTCTCTTTGGGACAGGGACCATACTACCCATCCCCGACCCTGATTTCTAAATAATTCCCCGTCCCCACCCCTATCCCTGTTGTGGAGAAAAATGAACCCTCCTCCCCAATCCTCGATAGAGATAGGTTCCCCATCAAGCACTCAAATCCCCAATTTTTTTATTTTTAAATTAAAAGTTTTGCTTTGGAAAAAGATTTACCTAAAAAATTCATTAATCCAAATTAGTTTAATACTTAACTAATATCTATTTGAGTTGAAATGAATACAAATCTGTTTAAGAACATATATTCAAAAATACTTTATAATATTTAATATATGTATACATTTTCAAATTTTAAAATATAAATAATATTTTAAAAATATTTAAATATTACAATTGGGGTTGGGAAAAGGCGAGGACTTCACTCCCCATCTCCATCCCTGTCCCCACCAGAGCAAATCCATACCAGACCCAATCAGGTTGGGGAAGCAGGGTACCCAGTAGGGATGAGGAAAATTGCCAACCCTAATATCTAACCATGAGGTGCACCTCTACGTCATTGCCTAGTGCTTCATGGAACTTTAATTATTTTCCATTTTCAATGTAACTGAAAACTTGATTATTATGAGAAAAGAATTGTGTTATTTACAGTACAAATTCTATTCCCTTAGTTTAGGCAAGTTCTGCTACCTAACCCAATTACGGAACTTTAGTTTTAGAAGAGGGATGTCTGTTTTGGTAGAAGTGGTTAGGTTAATTGAAACTTTAGATGGGATTTTTCTCTTTCAGAGAGATTTTGACTAAATTTGGATCCCAATTCCAACTAGTTCCTTTTCCTGTGCCATGTTCTCTCAAGCTCTCTATTTTCTTCTCTTTCCCCTTAGATGTTCTCTTTCAAGGCAATCTAGCTAAATCTAACTCCACCAGTCAAATATTTTTTTCCTAAAAGGTGTTTCTTCCCATAGATGTACTTTCTATTTCAACAATAGTGAAGCCACTTATCAATTTGCCAATCCCTTGTTCTTTTATAACTAGATATAGAATTCACTTTTTTTTTTCTCTTTATTTGGTGCTAGGTGACTATAATTTTAATTCATCTTAAACTTTTGCTTGCACTCCTTGTAACAAGAGCAATTGGCTCCCCTTCTGGAGGATTCATAGCCAACCTTCTACTCTCCTTAGATTGAACAAGTGCATAGACCTTCTGAAGAGTAGGCAACTCTTGACTAGCAAAATCTGAAAACATGTTGGCTCAAACACTTGATTGAGGCTAGCCAAGAGTGCAAAAAAAACTGTTCGGACACGTTTATGGTAGGCTATATCATTTCTTCTCTTACACTTCCAACCAGAAGGCACTTCTGCAACATCAAACAATGGGCTGTTGTGATATCAATACCCAGGTCATCCAGCCAATAGTCCAGAAAACACCAACCAATTCAAAAAATCTTTGTTCTTGGTCACCCAACCAAGAGATAAAGGAATAAAGTCGAGATTTCTTGAGATCGATTGGTTCGGAAGTGCCTTTGCTTCTTCCAATCAGAAGTGTCTTATTGATCTATTGCAGGTTTGTGCTCTGATACCATGTTTTTTGCAATAGATCAATTAAGGAATAAGAGAAAGAAGAGAGAAAACAGACAAGAGTGGAGAGAAGGTCATGAGCATAGCAGAACCCACTCTCTTATTTATATCAAGAGTGCAAAATATGGTGAATGGACAATAATACCCCTATGCAATAAAATTAGGTATACAACAATATGTCTGTATTAAGGGCTTGTTAGCTAACAATAGCTAAGCAAGTCTTCAATTATAACTCTAACATAAATTTTATCTGGACTGTTATTAATAAGAAAAAAAATTAGCTACATAACAAGGTTAAAACCTAATTTAATTCTCAAATTATTCATTTATCCCTGGGGGGCATTCTTTTTTTGGATTTTGAGAGGGGGAGAATTGGTTAATGGGAATCCATGTTCTTTTTTCAGCTTTATATGGGGACTAGGGAAAGTTTATTTTCCTATATACCACTTACCAAGGAAAGTGATACCCATCTCCTAGATGGATAAATAACTTTCCTACATAGGGGGAAAGTTGCCAACACTTGAATGGGACAAAAATGCCCCTTTTAATAATGAATTTCTATGAATAAAATGCTCATTACCTTATTTACCTGGAAAATAAAAGAACATGAATAAATACACTTACCCAGGTAAATGTTTCCAGTAAAATGTAAATTACGGAAAAGTGAACAGGGCCTTAAGATATCATTGGGTAAAGAATATCATGCATTAAACAAACAGTTGATAGATTAAGAGAAGTGGGAAGTAATTACGTGGAGGATACTACTTCGAAGAGGCCCAAAAGATTTTCTTTGGGCTTGAACCAGCGCAAGGAGGAATCTATAAGTTTCCACCGCATCCATAGGCAATGATTGGGAGATCTTTAGTTTTGCTTTCATTCTGAGCAATGGCCCTTGCTCCCACTTTGCAGTCTCATCCAAAGCAGCATCAATAATCACCTGGGCCTCTGAATATCGTTGCTGGGCAGACAAAACCAGAGCAAGCAATCTCCATCCTTTTAACATGGACCCTCCTGTTGCATCAATGAACTGTTTTGCGCAACGCAAAGCTGCATGAGAATTCCGGTGCTCTGCATGTTGAAGTCCCAAGTCAAAAATTAAATCTGGGTTGTTCTGTTCAAATGCAATTGCTGCATCTAATGATTTCAAAGCTTCAGTCTGGAGATGAGACCTCTCATGGTCTGATGAAGCAACCTTAGCTTGCTTTCCTAAACAAAGACCCAACATGCGAAAACCTACACCCTTCAAATGCTCATGCACATGCACACCTTGAGCAGTTGCAATTGCCCTCTGTGCATAGCCTACACCCTCAGCAGCAAGAAGAGGGTCTCCACTGCATATCCTGGCAGCTAATAAAAGTGCCAAGATTTCATCTGGTTTTTCATGCTTGTTCAAAGACTTCCTCAAAAGGTTCAAAGCAACAGCATTTTCTCCTGCTGCACTGTAACAAAGAGCCATAATGTTCCACCGATCACAACGGTGAAATACTCCAGGTAAGATTTCCTCCATTTGCCTTGCCAATATGGAAGTCTTCCCGCATAGAGAGAGTGCAAATGTAAGATACTCCATTATTGAAGGATCCCATTTGATCTTACCAAGGTGAAATTTTCTTAAAAGGATCATCAACAACAGAATTGCCTCTTCCAGATTATTTCTTGGAACATATGAGCCATCAATCTGGGAAGCCAAATTAGGTGGGCCGGCTTCTACACCACTGTAGAGCAAAAATAGAGCAAACTTCTTTTGAATCCTTGCACAACATTCATTGTCCAGGTTCCACTGACTCAGAAGGGCACGTCTGTAAGAAGACATTGCTTCCTGAAAACCACCAGCTTGTTTCCACAGCTCAGGAAGGAGCTCTACAGCCCGGCTAACTGTCTCTTGCAACTTATTGTCTGACGCCATATCAAGAATGCAATTATGAAATACCCGTTCCACAATATCAAGGACATTTTTACATTCCTCAGTAGCCTCTGCAACAACCATAAAGATATCAAAGTTAGGTTAACTACATAAACACTTTGAAACAAAGGGAGGAAAGGGGGCAATCTATATATTAGCATTCAATACCAGTTATTCTTCCAAGTTTCTGAAGAGACTTAGCCTTCAAGTACATGGCTTCAAGCACCAAGTTAGCAGAATTTTGAGTAACTATCTGCATTGACTCTGTGCGGGAGCGGTTCCTCCTCGAAGCTGCTTTTTCAGTAAGAGTAGGTTGCAACCGCTGTATAGCAGCTTGAAGATCAGCTCCATCAAAAACACGAAGTGCACCTTCTAAGTTGCCTCTTTGGTACTCCAACCTTCCAAGGAGGGCTCTTGCTTCCTGCAAATATTTTGAAAATATGTCTCTTTTGGTGGCATGAATATGCATTAATTAAATGCTATTTTTCTCTACAATATGCTGCATGGAAATATAATAGAAAACCTATATCTAGCTATAGGAATAAAGTTGACTACTTAACGATGCTTCATGGTTTGAGGTTTGAACTACTAGGATCCTTTACATCAGTGAAATGTTTAAGAAAGAAGAAGTTGAATCAACAGCAGCACTTACCAAATAAAATTGACAGCAGCACATTACATGTTTGAACCATCATTTGGGAATTGGGATCTAACAAGAAACTATTCAAACATAAATCTCAGACTCTCAGCTAAAATTTTTGATAATATCACCATCTAAGCCTTATCCCAACTATATGGAGTAGGCTACATGAATCCTGTTTTGCCAGTCCCTTTTGGTCTGCCCCTATCTAGCCCTTCTAGCCCCTTCAACTTGAAACACATCATTTCTTACAGCTGCTGTAGAGGGATTTTATGCATGTGACCAAACAGTTCAGGCATGACAAATGTGAGTCCTGATCTGCTCCTCTCGCAGAGTGCGCTTCACACCGACCTCACACCATGTCCTGGCTGCATATCAAGAACATCTCCTGTACTTGCATTTATTATTTATGGGAAGATGTTCTCAATACAGGGTGGAATGTAGCTGTGAGGTCAGTGTGAGGCACTCTCTCTGAGGAGCAGATCCCATTTCAACACATGTAAACCATGTAGAATCACTCTGATTTTTTTACCGCAGGAGAGAGAATAATTATCAGTAAGTAAAACAAGAGAGCACAACTAAGTGTTGAAAGATTGTTTATTTGTACAAACATCCAAATTTTCTAAAAGCACTATTAATTCCAAAACATTAGAAACACATCAAACATAACTCCTGGATAGAGATCCCACAGAAATTTATAAAAAGCTTTGGCTACAGACTCCACAATTTATGTAGGAAATTTGCTGGATGAGTTGTTCCATAGAGAAATTTTCTATTTTTTGGTAGAAAAAGATCATTAAAAAGAAAATAAACAGAGACATCACCATAAAATCCACAAGCAACACTCTATTTCGTTTCTCTTTATCACATCAGTTCCACACACACGAAAAAAAAAATAGGAATTGACTTCTAAAGACACGAGATCTAACAACCTCACTTTCTCTTTCATGAAAACTATACAAAAAGAGAACAGAACATAACCAATCATAATCACACCTCCACCAATACAATTTGACCTCAGAAACCTGCACATCTAATGAGCCATAGTCAAAACATAACCCAGAATCAATTAATTCATGAGCCTCTTACCTCTACCACCATGTACTGACTTAGATTCCAAAATCATGTCAGTCAAACTATCTTTAGCGGCACTCGATTTATTTGCAAACCTTAGTGTTATCTTCTGCCTCCACTCTAGAACTTGCCTTCACCTATCTCCTTTTTTATCCCTCTAAATTCTAGTCACGGTAGAGATGATGGGCCAGATGGGCCTTAGTCTTCTTTATTTTATTTGTGCTGTTATTAGCATGTTATGTTTCAGTTAGTGGGCCTTGGTTATTGGGCCAAATTTTCTTTCTTTTTATTGCCCTTAAGTAGCCACCCTATTGAGGGCACTCTTATAATTATATGAAATTTACAATTAGTTTAAAATAAGTGATTAGGGGACTGAAATAGAGTATCAACACACTTCTTCTTCTTCTTTCATCTTTTTCTTTATTTTTTTAGAACTTGAGTAGGTGTAATTTTCACTTGGTATCAAAGCAAGTTAATAACATTTTTAGTTTTATTTTTAGAACCATACATAGTGTGTATAGACAATTGATTGGTTAAGTGATTAACAGCTTATACAACCCAATTGGGGGAGGTTTTTGAAGAAAATTATAGTCTCTGATTAAGGCCCAAGACAGGTTCTTGGAGAGTTTCCCGAAAACCCTAACTAATTGGAGAATTTGGATTAAGGGTATAGAGATAGTTTGGAGCTGGTGCTTGGGGCTAGAATAGAAGGTTCATGATCAATATTGAGATCAGTCCAGGTTGGGAAGGATTTGGAGTCCCAAGTAGGAGAGACTAGATTTTCTCTCTTTCTCTCAAGTTGTCAGGTCCAGTGAAACCCTAATTTTGGTTGATTGAAGAGTAGTTTTGGCCTTAGGGAGCAAGAAGCAACCTAAGGATCATGACCCTGCCTATAAAAGGTGGATGTAGGAAAACTATACAATTTTAGGCTAGTTATTAAATTTCATACAACCTCATATCAATCAATACTATCTGTGGATGGATATTGCAAAGGAGGTGTAGGATAGTGTTATGGAGACCTATTTCCAGAAATCGAATGTTTCTAGGACTTACAAACTAAAGAATGATGTGAATAATCTAAGATAAGGGGAGAATCCTTTAGTTGCATACTTTTCAACACTGAAATTCCTTTGAAAAGAGATTGATCTAATGGAGATTGATGTGTGGGGGTGCAATAAAGATGTTGAGACTCATAGGAAGTTATTTGAAAAGGTGTCACTAGAAAATCTTTTGTGTGAAGTCTGTCAAATGTCAAAGCATTATAAGGGAACCTATCCAAAATCTATTAATGAAATTTCCAATCCTTTTGATTTAGTGTATTCCAATGCATGGGGCTCTTCTCCTGTTATTTCTTTGGATGGATACTGCTATTTTATTAATTTTATTGATCATTTCTCTCGATGCATGTTGATATATTTGATGAAAGAGAGAAATGAAGCTCCTAGAATTACTTCAATTTTCTACAAAATGCTTGAGAAACAATTTGGGATGAAAGTAAAGTAGTTCCAATCAGACAATGCAACTGAATATTTTGAGAGTTTCTTGAATATCTTCCTTGAAGATGAAAAAATCCTCCATTAGTCATCTTGTACTTATACTCCACAACAAAACAAAGTTGTAGAAAGGAAAAATCACCACTTACTTGAAACTAATCGTACTTTGTTGTTCCAACACAAGGCTCCAAAGAAGTTTTTATCACATGAAATGCTTACTACCTCTTATCTAATAAAAAATAGGATGCCATCTAGGGTGTTGGCCATGCAAACTCTATTTTCAGTCTTTGCCCTAATCAGGTTGAGTTTTCTTTACCACCCAAGGTGTTTGGTTGTGTGTTTTATCCATGTCATAGATCCCAAGAGTATAAAATTGGACCCTAATGTTATTTATGTTATTTTCCTTAGCTATTCTCTTACTCAAAAGGGATATAAGTGTCTTAATCCTTACACTGGGAGGAAGTTTGTTACCAAAGATGTTGCATATTTTTAATCCTAGTCATTCTTGAGCCTCCCTGGAATCCTCTTTAGGGGGAGACTAGTAGGGTGGAAGAGGTTTCCTCTGAGGTAAATCCTTTCTTGCCTTAACCTCATCTTGATTCCTCAATTCCATCCTCTCCACCCTCTTCCTCTGATCCATCTTGCCATGAAAAGACTTCTACATTTCTTGTGCCACCACCCAGACCACTATGCACAATGGAAATGATGGAATAGAGATGAGTGTGTATAAAAGAAAAAGGAAAAGGGTTTCTCATCAGCTTCATGGTGGAGATCTTCCAACTAAAGTCCACAACCAATCAGGTGGTGGTCAAGATATTGTTTCTAAATCTGATTTGGACTTGCCCATTGCTCTTTGAAAGCATATTCGTTCATGTACTTTGCACCCAATATCTAAGTTTGTTTCATAGTCTCATCTCTCTCCTACCTATTACTCCTTCATGTCTACTTTGTCTATTGATACTATTCCTTCCAGGTATTTGGAAGCTATTCTTGATCCCAAATGGAGAGAAGCAATGAATGAAGAAATGAAAACACTTTTGAGGGATGGCACTTGGGAGTTAGTGGATCTTCCACATGGGAAGATAACTGTGGGTTGCAAGTGGGTTTACACAACAGAATACAAGGCTGATGGATCAATGGGTAGGTACAAAGTAAGAGGGCATTGATTACAAGGAAATATTTGCTCCTATTCCAAAGTTGAATATCGTATGTGCTTTTCTCTCTTTAGTTGCAAACTTATCATGGGAATTGCATCAACTTGATGTCAAGAATGCATTTCTAAATAGTGATCTCCAGGAAAAACTTTATGTGGATCTTCCTCTAGGGTATGACATGAAAGAAAAACTATGCAAGTTAAGAAGAACTTTATATGGCTTAAAGCAATCTCCAAGAGCATGGTTTGAGAGACTATGCATAGCTATAGAAAATGTAGGGTATATGTAGAGTAATGTAGACCATAACTTATTCTACAAGAAGAAAGATGACAAATTAACTACATTGATTGTGTATGTTAATGACATGGTGACCACATGGAACTATACAAAGGAGATTCAAACATTAAAGGATCTTTTTGGCTTCAGAATTTGAAATTAAGGACCTTGGCCCTCTAAGGTACTTCCTTGGAATAGAAGTTGTTAGATCTAATGAAGGGATTTATATATGCCAATGGAAATATGCTTTGGATTTATTGAATGAAACATGGTAGTTGGGGAATAGACCTATTAACACTCCAATTGAACAGAAACATGGATTGCAAGAAGATGGAGAAGATGTGTTGCTCACTGATAGGGAGAGGTATCAATGCCGAGTGGGTAAACTTCTGTATTTATCTCTTACTAGGCCAAATTTTTCTTATGTTGTTCACATTGCGAGTCAATATATGCATGCTCCAAAAATCTCTCATATGAGAGCAGTACAACGAATTATGAGATATCTCAAGTCATGTCTAGGAAAGGGACTTTTATTCAAGAAACATGATAAAATGGTTATAGAAAGCTTTATAAATTCTAATTGGATTAGGGATAAAAGATCTACAATAGGATATTGTACCTTTGTTGGTGGAAATTTGGTTACTTGAGAAGTAAGAAACAAATAGTTGTGGTATGATCTAGTGCAAAGGCAAAGTATAAGGCCATGGATCATGGCCTAACTAAACTTTTGTGGGTTCGGACTCTACTAAAGGAGTTGGAAATTCAAACTAATGCCCCCTTAAGACTATACTACAACAATCAAGCAACCATCAACATTGTCAATAACCCTATCCAACATGATAGAACCAAGAACATTAAATTGATAGATATTTTGTTCAGGAAAGGATCATTTCTAGATATCTATGCATTCCTTATTTACCTACAACAAAGTAGCTAGCTGATGTGTTTACAAAAGGATTGCCCAAATCAAGATTTCATGAGCTACTGGGCAAGTTAAGCATGATTGATATCTATGCTCAACTTAAGGGGGAGTGTTATAAGTCCTAATGTTGTATAGGTTGGGTTTTTACTTACTTAAGTTTATATATTTTGAGGCCTAATAGGCCTACGTTACTCTTTCTTAATTTGTTTATGTTT